AATTTGCCATTTTAGGAAACTTACAGATGACCCTTAAGACCTCTAAACTACTAATTTACAGATCAAAACCACACGACCCAAGCTGCAGACACAAAACATTTGTACACAGGTCGCGGGTTCAAAGCACACAGGGTCAACGGGCAACTATACAGTGGGCCAGGGAAGGTCTGGGGATCAAGTCCTGGTATCTGCAATGTTGCGCGAACTGGGTGAAACCCTTTCAGACATGGGATCTATAGCCTTTTGTCCGGCCGGACTCCATGTACACTCTTCGAATCCGGGTCCTCACCGTGAGTTCTTTGAAGGACTCTCCATGTAACGAAATTTGCAGGCTGGGAACTATACATCGGCGGACAGTGGTAATGCACGGAGGCATCTGACAACCATCCTCGTGAATTTAGACATGTATAGTGGACAGTACGTGGAGCGACAATCAACTGTCCGATTTTGTACAGTGGATAGTAGTGGATTGAGACCCAAGCGAATGGTTCGCACATCTGTGGAGTCCACTCGTCTCCAAAAGTGCACTTGCACTCTCCCACTTGACAACACATCCCGCATAATATAGGGCCTGCTCCACTACTCACCACATGCACAGAAGACAAAAGATATGGCGGTGTATTTGTCCATGTTCTAGGGGAAGATTCACTCTCATTTAGAAGATTTGGTGAGTGATAGAGCAAGGTACACAGTATATGCGCGTGTTGTGTATTTGCAAAACACAGCTTCACAGGCAAGGGTAGAAGTTGTCGGGCCCCCCTTGTCTCAGGGCTTTGACTCTCTCCGAACGCCTGGCCTGCCTTCAGTCCGCTATCAGCACGAAGATTGATCAATTATTTCAGGTACGACAATAGCACACCCGGCTTATCACCCACAAGCTCTGTTGTCGTAATCTTCTCGCCTTTGCGTCTCGCTTGAGTAAAATCACTCTAAATGTATCTGGCTCTCGCCCAGGGGACCAAATTCATTCAAATGTTTGATCAGTCCGAATGTATGTGGTCTGGTAAGAGCCAAGATACATGTAAAATGTTTTGTAGCAGAATTCCCTTTCACTTTGCACTCTCAGGCTAAAATCCCACTATCTTCTACCCCTGAACACATAGCCCAGTGGTCATAAATGTATATGAGGCGCGTTCCCGGCTAGATGCAGTCACCATAATCAGAGGTTGTGTTTGGGGGTGGATCAAGAGATCCTAACCATAGGCAACGAACTTTGAAAAGGCCAGCATAAAGATGTTTAGGTAAAAGTGAACCCCACTGAGAGATAGTGATCGTAATCTCTCTCTCTCTCTCTCTCTCTCTCTCTCTCTCTCTCTCTCTCTCTCTCTCTCTCTCTCTCTCTCTCTCTCTCTCTCTCTCTCTCTCTCCCCTTCCTGCATGCACGTCGCTCTCCTTTTTGTTGGGCCTCGCTCGTCTGTCTTGCTTTCACAGAAAACGATTGTCATCACTCATTCATTAATTGGCGAATCACGATATCTCTGTACCGGGCAGAGCTCACAGAACATGAAACCAACTTTCAAATGCAGCCGAGATTTTTCATATAGAGAAATTGTGTCTTTTCCTTCTACACCAAAGAGACCAGAGAGGAAGTAATTACGAGACAACAACGAGAGGCCCTCCTGCCGTTTCGCACACTCCGTGCCTGCTTGCTTTCAGGAGATAATGAACGCTGGCCACGAAGAAAGAAGCGCACGTTGGCCACCCTCCAATGCGATTCACTAAGATTGACGGAGACAAACGGAAGACCATTTATTGAAGAGCATAACATCAAGCTCAGTGAGTCACTTTCGCAGATCTAGCTGACTCGTAGCAGCACACTACTTCGAGTACACGATGGAAGCGACAACCAAGGGTTGCTGCTGGGACGGCGTTGGTCGGAGCTGGGGCGAGTCGTGTTGCCCTGTAACCCACCAGGGTGGGGGTGTGAGACCTGGAAGAGCTCGGCAGGGAGTAAGACAGTGCTGGAGAGCTTTAGAAAGGTTGCTAGGGAACCACGGGGTTCTGAGCATTTGTAGGACCTCTGTGGTGGCGTGTGTTGTTGTGGGCAGACCTTTTTTCTGAAGTTTGTCGTTGTAATTTTCTTAGCCAAAGCCGGGTAATGCCCCCGGTATCTCAAACTTTTCAAAATTCTATGTAAATTTCCATATGGGACGCTGGGCCCGGTTTCCAGCACGTGTTGCTCCCCATGAATAAATTGGAGTCTTGTTCCCATTAAAAAAAGAAGAAGAAAAAAAAAAAGATCTGTAGCCAACCAAATGGTAAAGGAGGAGATCAAGAGAGAGAATAAACCGTAGAGAGAGAGATCGAAAACGGCCTACAAAGCTTAAGTAAGGCCATCTCTGTCTTATTATTCCGCGGCAGCTCAGGTCGATTTTCCTTCTTGGACAGAGGCCCGACAACAAGCTGCCCAGGAGATGACTGATCCTTGAGTATGACCACCCTCACCTCCCACCCTTCCGCGCATTATCGCTGCCTGCAATCCCGGTAACCTCATCGTCACACATGGTTGGTGGGTGGGGTCCTCCACCAGAGGTTAAAGACCATTTGGAACCTGGTATCGTGGGAATCTAGCGCCATCACCACCTTCTTGCCCTCCACTCTCACCACAACCTTGATGTTTCGGTTAGGAGCATTGCTGCTCTCGCTCTATACGATCATCAGGAAGTTATCCGTGAACTTGAAGTTGCCGGTTTGCGGTCCAGGGGTGATGCATGTCAGGCTGGCCGTAGCAGTTTATTCGGAGAAGTAGTAGTGCGACTCGTAGATGTTCTTGGACCTCTTGGCGATGTCAACGAACCCGCGGCCCGTGGCCTGGCTGATGGAGGCACTCCACTGACTCCAGTCGTCTGGATAGACGGGATTGATCGACATCTGGCAAGCCTTCCTCTTGTCGGCAAGTCCCACGCCGGTGGTTGCAACCATCCCGCTGAACATGAAGGTGACCGTCCTGTAGTTGCTCGACAACACGTAGTTGGTATTGTCATTGCTACAGCCAGAGCCCTGACTGCTCACCCAACTAATGGTCACTTCCAACGACTGCGCATGTGCAGGAAGCGCAACCATCGTCAAGAACATGGTCGTGAACAACACCAAGTGTGCCATGGTTCTAGACTTCAGCTTCCTCAAAACCTCCTCAGCTCTCTCTTTCGCCACGTAGAAACACAAACAAAGCTGCTTTGGATCCTCTTCCCCTTGCTAATGAGTGGACTAGATAAGAAAACTGATTGCAAGCTGTCAAAATAGTTTATGAACTGGATGTCAAACATCAACTATTGGCAACTATGGGATTTATGTCTTGAGCAGAAAAGTGTGTGTGTGTGTGTGTGTGTGTGTGTGTGTGTGTGTGTGTGTGTGTGTGTGTGTGTTTCAAAAGAGATTGCATCACAATCAAACAACCTGGCTCAACCAGGAACAACACTTAATGTTATCACTCGAAGACGCGTACTAACATTAGATCCATCCTTAACGTCACTTGGGCCTCCTTAAAACACCAATGCCAATCAACATTAGACGGATCACCTCCTTCTATATTCTTCCTGATCACAAAACGATTGTCAATACTCGTTGCCATAGCAAAGAAAGCTGAAGAGAAAAAGACAATAATAAGGGGGGGGAAAGGTTTTTTTTTTAAGCGTGCTGGTTACGCGCATTCCTCCAAGCTTGGAGATGTAGCGAGGGAGATGTCGATGTGTAGATATACTTTGTGAGTTATGTTGCTGGGCAATGTAGCGGTTCACATGTGAGAGATTTTGGAGAAACATTTTTTGATCCGCCGTTGTGGCTGTGTGTCCATTTAGGCGGGAAGATCCTGTTCTGCTCCAGTCAATCGTGGTTCACTTGTTGTGTATGGGTGTTGCGTAGTTGGTGTCGATCCGATTTGGCGGGTTCAAGCGTGGGTCTTTCTGTTCCGGTGGGCTGAGGGTAAGAGTCCAATCTGTGGTAGGTTGTTTCCTTCGAGCTTAATGGTGAGGGCTCGTTGTCTGTGTTTGGGGCTGGGAGGGTCGTCCTCTAAATCAGTCATCATTTGAGATTGTGATGTTTGAGTTGAGAAGTAATTATGTTTTTTTTTGTTTGTGTAGTGTGCTTTCTTTTAGGGGGAAGCCACTACGTGTGTATGCGTTGTCTGCAGCGGCCTTGTTTGATGGGTTGTCCTGTAGGTAAGTCTTTGGTGGTGAACTTTTTTGTAGGTGTTGCTGATATGTCTTGTAGTGCTTGGCTGCGTTGTGTTGTAGTGTCATTTCATTTTTCTTCATCTTTCTTTTGATTTTTCACTTTCGGGGGTGTTGGGTTTTGTTTTTTTTTGTCTTGGCGTTTTCCTATTGTCCGCGGGTTTTCCGGTTCAGTCTGATATGCGTGTTTGTTTTTTGGTGACGTTTTATTTGGAAGAGTGTTGCTAGTATTTTGTTTTTTGTCAATCGACTTAGGTTGTGCAAAGTTTTTTTTCGTTCTTTTTTTTTTTGTTGTTCTTTTTTTTTTTTTTTTGGGGGGGGGGGGGGGGGGGGG